CTGATTGTGGCTCTGATCATCAGCATCTTATAGCAAAACTCAAACTTAAACTGAAGAAAGTAGGAAACATCACTGGGCTAGTCAGGTATAATCTAAACCCAATCCCTTATAAATACACAGTGGAAGTCAAGAACAGATTTAAGGAGCTAGGATTGGTGGACAGAGTGCCTGAAGAACTATGGATGGAGGCTCATAACATTGTACAGGAGGCAGCAACAAAAAACCATCCCAAAGAAAAGGATATGCAAGAAAGCGAAGTGGCTGTCCATTGATGCCGTACAAATAACACAGAAGAGAAGGGAAACAAAATGCAAGGGAGATAGAGAAAGTTACAGCAAATTAAATGCAGACTTCCAAAGAATAGCAAGGAGAAACAAGAGGGCCTTCTTAAATGAACAGTGAAAAGAAATAAAGGAAAATAATAGAAAGGGAAAAAACAGATTTGTTCAAGAAAATTGGAGCTCTTAAAGGAACATTTTGTACAAAGATGGACATGATAAAGGACAAAAATGGTAGGGACCTAACAGAAGCAGAAGACATCAAGAAGAGGTGGGAGGAATACACAGAAGAATTATACCAGAAAGCTCTGGATGTCCTGGACAACCCAGATAATGTGGCTGCTGACCTTGAGCCAGACATCCCAGAGAATGAAGTCAAGTGGGCCTTAGAAAGCACAGGTAAGAACAAGGCCAGTGGAGGTGATGACATTCCAGTTGAACTATTTAAAATCTTAAAAGATAATGCTATTAAGGTGCTACATTCAATATGCCAGCAAGTTTGGAAAACTCAGCAGTGGCCAGAGGATTGGAAAAGATCAGTCTAAATCCCCATCTCAAAGAAGGCAGTGCCAAAGAATGCTCCAACTCCTGTACAACTGCATTCATTTCACACACTAAAAAGGTTATGCTCAAAATCCTCCAAGGCAGACTTCAGCAGTATGTGGACTGAGAACTCTCAGAAGTACAAGCTGGATTTCAAAGGGGCAAAGGAACTAGAGAACCAATTGCTAACATGCGCTGGATTATGGAGAAAACCAGAGAGTTCCAGAAAAAGATCTACTTCTGCTTCATTGACTACACAAAAGCCTTTGACTGTGTGGACCACAACAAACTATGGCAAGTCTTTAAAGAAATCAGAGTACCTGATCGCCTTATCTATCCCTTGAGAAATCTATATGTGGGACAGGAAGCAACAGTTAGAAGTGGATATGGAACAACTGATTGGTTCAAAATTGGGAAAGGAGTATGACAAGGCTGTATATTGTTTCCCTGCTTATTTAATTTATATGTAGAATACATCATGTGAAGGTTGGACTGGATGAATCCCAAGCCGGAACCAAGATTGCTGGAAGAAATATCAACAACCTCAGATATCCAGACGATACCACTCTGATGGCAGAAAGTGAGGAGGAATTAAAGAACCTTGTAATGAGAGTGAAAGAGGAGAGTGCAAAAAATGGTCTGAAGATTAACATTAAAAAAATTAAGATCATGGCCATTAGTCCCATCACCTCCTAGGAAATAGGAAGATATGGAGGCAGTGACAGATTTTATTTTCCCAGGCTCCATGATCACTGCAGATGGAGACAGCAGCCATGAAATTAAAAGACGCCTGCTTCTTGGGAGGAAAGTGATGACAAACATAGATAACATCTTAAAAAGCAAAGACATCACCTTGCCGACACAGGTGCGTATAGTCAAAGCTATGGTTTTTCCAGTAGCAATGTATGGAAGTGAGAGCTGGAGTGTAAAGAAGGCTGACTGCTGAAGAATTGATGCTTTTGAATTGTGGTGCTGGAGGAGACTCTTGAGAGTCCCCTGGACTGCAAAAAGAACAAACCTATCCATTCTGAAGGAAATCAACCCTGAGTGCTCACTAGAAGGACGGATCCTGAAGCTGAGGCTCCAATACTTTAGCCATCTCATGAGAAGAGAAGACTCCCTGGAAAAGCCCCTGATGTTGGGAAAGTGTGAAGGCAAGAGGAGAAGGGGACGGCAGAGGAAGAGATGGTTGGACAGTGTCACTGAAGCTACCAACATGAATTTGATCAAACTCCTGGAGGCAGTGGAAGACAGAGGGCCTGGTGTGCTCTGGTCCATGGGGTCACAAAGAGTCAGACATGGCTAAACAAAAAGTGAGCTTATAGCTCAACAGTACATAAAAGTAAATCTGTACTCCAATGTTGAATATGTAGTAGTGGCCCATAATTTGCTAATACATTGTGGCAGTCTGACCATCATTCTGCAAGATACATAATTTATAAAAAGCTGATTGGCAGAACTTCCATTCAACATAGGACAGAATTATATGCATGACTTAACAACTAAACAACAACAATGGAAATTATGTGGGAAGGCTTTGAAGATAGTTAGGAAGATCCAGCTGGTTCAGAATAAAAAGTACAGGACATTGATTCTCTACTGACTTTTGACTGTATCACACACCGCTTTCCTCAAAATCCTTCTCATCTCACTTTTAGCTAAGCGTACCTGCACTTGCCTCTGAAACTTTTTATAGGTGTCCTCCCTTTTTAAAACTCCCCCCCTTTTTTTCTATTCCTGTTTCCTACCCCTTGGCATTTTTTGCTGAGCATGATAATCAGCTATATGCTGCAGAAATGTAAAGAAAGACTTCTTTGCATATCAACATGGAGTTAGGCTAAATTTATGTCTTCCGCTAAGCAAAGGTTTTTCTAACATCTGGAATTAGAAAAACACCCTAATCACATTTATCTCAATTCTCTTAATGTTCACACATTTGTAGGAGTCAGTTTTTGGACTTTCAACAATGGGATAAATACAATTTTTCACTGCAGTGAAATCATTTAAAATTGCCCTGTAGTTGGCAAATGAAAGGTTCAGTTTTCCTCAGATCCCATACATACCACACACAAGTTCATGGGCCTTACAATTCCCTGAAAGGTGGTTGCTACAGCCCACCACACCTTTTCAAGACCCCTTCACTCATTGTCTAACAGTAACTAGTTTTTTTCTCACAAAATGGGCATAAAAATGATTGTGTTTTGCCTCATACCTTGGCTTCTAAGAGGAACTGCTCCTTTGAAAATAGAGAATCTGAACCATTTATGGCTATAAATAGTATCAAGTAGCATAGCTGCAATCTGGATAAAATTGAGCCAAGTGGGATATGTGGCGATCATACGTTTAAGGCCCCACCATGCTCATTCCCTCCCTTTTTCTAGTGCCAAACTACAAACACTGTTTCCTCCATTTCTTATCCTTGCAATGACCCTTAAGACCCATGTATTCAGCAGAGCTTTCCATTACCCTATTCCTTCTTTCTTTCTTCACAATATCTGAATAGAATTTAAATTGCAATAACACATTATCATATTGAATCCTCTCCTCCAACCTTCCCCTCTCTCTTGACTTTTGATGTCTCTTACCCTTGGCCATAGTTACACTGAAAAATCCGTCAAACAAGATTTTCTTTCACCCTTTACTTATCGGCTATTTTGAACATTTTCTCTCCTACCTCCACCATGCATTATCTATCTCAAGTTAAATTGCTCATGTTTTTCTTAGCTTGTTTTTCTAGCCTCAGAAGAATTACTCTCTGGTTAATAACTTGATAACCCGTGTACTACTGTAGTGTAATCAAACAAGATAATAACTGATAATTGGAGGCAACAATTTATCAAGTGGCAATTCATGGAAGTGCGCATCCAACCAGATAGAATGAATTAGCGTCATCTATAAAATCCACCCACAAATGACTGTATTTATTATTTTATTTCTTTTAAACAATTCTGTTTTGTGCATTTATTTTCTTAGTTATTTCTTGCTTTTCCCATAAAAAAGGCGTTGAAGGCCTGTAATGAAATACAGATTTAAAACGAAACCTAGATTTTGTCAGGTTTTGTTGCAGAATTCACACAGAACTAGATTTACAAAGTGATTAAAATGTCCTGTGCCTTTTTAAACAAGGCCCTGAGACCAAAAAGCGGAAATGATTACTCTGTTCATCAGCAGACTGGTGCAATTTGAGGGCAATAGTGGCCTTCTGGGACATTTTGGGAAACACAAGGTGAGTAATGTTACCTGTCCACTAGTTCTAAACTGTGGGAAACTCCTGCCTAAAGGTTGTAGCTGCATTCTGTTCCAGTGACGTGCATACACTCCTGGCAAGATGCGGCAGCTGCCAGCAGGCAGGATGGCCCCTTCTTCTGCCCTTTCGCTTAGCGGTAGATCAGAAGAACAAAGGGTTAATTTAGGCAATCCTAGTAACGATTAGATAACTAGTATCCTATCTGTTTCTCTCATAACATACTATGTAATCATGCTAAGCCAATAAAAATAGCCCTCGGGGTGTTGCCTGTAGGCTCCGCTGGCTTGGACACTTGCTGTCGACTCCTTTGTTTTCTCTTTAAGGCAATTAGCCATCCCTTTGTTCCATGATCACCCACACTAAACCTAACACTACTGTCATTTGGAATAACCATAATTCATGCTGTCTTCTCCACCCAGATGAGGATTTAAAACATGACATTATTGATCTAGATCAAGAGCTAGATACACCAACATTTTTAAACTTTTAAACAACATTTAAAATTATAATATACAAACTTAAACACATTAACAATCTAACATATAATTAATGAGACAAAAAGACAAAAAAAAAAACTCCACAAAAAACTACTAGCTAAACATCCTTCCTTCCCCCATGGATCAGAGATTTCTTCATCGTCAGGACCTTGGATGTCTTCAAGAGGATTCCGGTGAGCACTGAATCAGCTATATACTAAGTTTCACCCTAAAATCCTGTCTTTTTCTGGGCCCAAATACACCGACATTTTAAAACACAACCTTGGAAATCAACGTCCACTCTCAGCCAGTCCAGACTTTGAACAGAAGACCAGTCTAAGTTGGTATGAATAAGAATGTCATCAGGACCTTGGATGTCTTCAAGAGGATTACGGTGAGCACTGAATCAGCTATATACTAAGTTTCACCCTAAAATCCTGTCTTTTTCTGGGCCCAAATACACCGACATTTTAAAACACAACCTTGGAAATCAACGTCCACTCTCAGCCAGTCCAGACTTTGAACAGAAGACCAGTCTAAGTTGGTATGAATAAGAATGTCATTGCTTGCTGGCAGAATGACAACAGTGGAAGCCCATATAGCCTTTCTTGGCAAGGGGTTCTAGGCCTTGTCTTTGCCAAAAAATCACCTGGGGTAAGGCACAGTGAGCCAAATCCAGCACTGTAATTGTGGCCTTGGAAGCAGCTTCTGTTAGTGCAAGCCCGAAGGGAACAATCCCTTCTCCCATAAATCCTGCCAGACTACCTCCAGAGGCTGAAGGAAGAATTCTTCACAAGTCCTGACACAAATAAATTCAAAATGTATTAAACATCAAAACCATAAAGACATATACAGTATTTTATTTCTTTCTTTCAGTAATCTGTATACAGCCTGACATAAAGACACACTACTCTGTACAGTTAATAATACTATAAAATAACCTTCCCACCCAAAACTAAACCCAAATAAACATCACTCCTACCCCAAGTTAAACTTGCCCAAATACAACATAAAACTCAGCAATGACAATCAGGTGACACGGTGTCTGTAAATAATGCAGGAGGAGAACATCTATGAAAATTTCTTTGAAAAGTTTGGTTTTTAAAGCTGGGAGGGGGTCTGCTGTATCTCTATTGAAAGCCCATTGCAAAGAGATGGGGGGGCCACTACCGAGAAGGCCTGGTTCCTTGTCGAAACCTTCTTTGCCTCCGTCGGTGTGGCCACTCATAAGAAACTTGCCCGGGTGGAATGTGTAGCATGGACTGACATCAAATGATGGATATGGGCAGCCCCTTTATTGGTCCATGCCCACAGTTTTGTTGCCCAATCTGCTCCATGTCCTTTTTATGACACTCCAACCTGATCACTGTCCAGATCCATGGCAATATTTATGCATTTTGGGTTCATGGCGAAAAAACTTCCCCTGTGAATGAAAAATGCCACAGCCAGAGCACAGAATGAATGATGTGAGACAGAAGGGCTTCTGGCCAGCAGCACTCTGCAGACCAGGGCCCTTTGTTCTATTTTTATTTCTCCCCCCCCCTTTCTTTTTATTAGCTACCAAGAGAAAACCCTAAGATACTAAACCTGGAGGGGACTTTAAAAGGGCAATGAACACCATTTTTGGAATCCTTAAAAGAGCAATGCAGGGAGCCTACTCTTCTCTGCCGTCTTTCTGTCTTACCTCTTGTTTCCCCTCATTTCCATTTCCCTGGATTTGAAATCAGTGGTGCTGCAGCTACAAGACTTTTGATTATTTAATTAATGACTTTACCACAGGTAGCGGAAGAAAGATTTATTTCTAAGATGAAGAGCATATTCTCCTCCATTGCCACCAACGGAGTATCTTCCTCACTCTTTATTTTCCTACTTTTAATCACAATGCATGAAGGCCAGATTTGCCAAGGGAGATTCATGAGCGTAGTGCTCAACTCCATTAATGTCTCTAGGATCTTTGCTCCACTGTGTGGTCACCTTAGAAATGCACAAACCATCCTGATTCAGTTCATTATATCAATGATTTTTTTTTCTGAAGGCAGTGAACATTGTTCACTAAAACATATCCCACTGAAAAGACTTACGTTAAAGGATGAAGTGAAAGCAATGCATCTCAACTAGAGCTTGGGAATTTTATTTTTTAGGTTATAATTCCCAGAATTCTTCAGCTATCTTACCTTTCTGGAAGCCATAGTCTAGAAAGGTAAGACCTCTAAGCTTTTATGTCAATTTCTTTGTAAGCTAAGAGAATAAGAACCAATTAGAATTCTCAAAGTAATTTGTTCCACAATTTGGGAGCAACATAGAAGAAAGCCCTTTCCTTTGACATCTTTGTTCATGCTATGTATCTAACTGGCCACCCACATTATTTTAATGTATAGTACAAATTAACAAATGGACTGCAGATCCCACCATCCCTCGCCCTTGGCTGTATTAGCTAGGACTGATGAGAGCCGAGTGCAAGAATTTCTGGAAATCCACAGTTTCCAAATCCCATTCTAGACTATTTTTCTGCAATTTCCCCCCTCAAAATTCTGCAGAATCAAAATGTTGCCTGGAGCAATACCTTTGCTAGATCATAAAAGGGTTACGGACATTTTAGGGATCTAAAAAATAAACGATGATGACCTGATAGAAATAGAAGACCTAGACTTTTATTTCTATTCATGGCTGTTTTTGTCTTCTGCAGAATGTCATGAAGAAAGGCAGGAAAAGTAGACCCTTTAGGAGAAAAAAAAATTATTTCAGAATTTAACAAGATTCTTTGATGTTTTGGTTAGTCTAACACACATTGTTCAACATGCCTTATGCTTGTAATAATCCATTCATTATTCACTTGCTTAAGCATTTCACAAGCCCTTCATTAATATGAACCCCAGTCCTCATAAATACCTTAGAATAATGTGAAGTCTGCTATCTTGAGCTTAAGAAAATCTATATTAGCACAATGCTTTTATTAGTTCAACTGGTATCTTCATCTTTATCCATCTAGCTCTCTTGTTACACACAAATGAATGTATTAATATTATTTATTAAGATCTAATGTAGATTTTGGAAATAGTACGACTTACTTAAGAGCAAGAATAGGCTCTGTGGGATAGGAATAAAGTTCATCCGTACTGCTTTCTTACACTAGTTGGGGTTCCAGTAGACTTCCAGCTTGCTTTTTAAAAGACTGCTTTGGTTGTTTGAGGGTTTGTTTGTTTTTTGAGGTGGAGGGGCTAGTGCATGAAAACCTAAATCATCCCTGTCTCATATTTTTTTCCCTTCATACCTGAATTTCCAGCTAACTGAGAGAGTATGGCAAACTGGAGGTGGAACAGAAGGTCAGACAAAAAGTCTGCAATCAATATTTGTATTAAAACCAGACCAAACTGACCTTGTTCTGAAGTCTTCAAGGTATTTGAACTTTTGGAAGGGCGCTGTCAGGATAGTGAGATCTCCATGCCTGTGGGTCGCTTCACTCTTGCTGCTGCTGAGTGAACACTTGTGCGTTTGTCTTGCTCGCTCACATAACTGTATTTCCCATCACGTCTGTGGTAGTATTTAGTCAGGAAATGAAAGCAGTGAAGGACGTTCACTTTCTATTGGGAAGAAAATTTTAAAAAAGGAAAATAAAAGGCACAAGAAGAAATTGGTGAAAAAGACGAGAGATAGGCCAATATTAATATGTTTTAAGATTAATATGTGGTGGATTAAAGATAATCCCTGTTTCCAAAAGATTTGTCATGTTTTCTATAGTATTGCAAAATGGCTGCTTTAAACAAATGACCTCCCTAACATTTGGCCAAAAGCCTGGATCAGAGTAGAAAACTGAGTTTTGATTATGAGGATATAAGTTATCAACACTTTGATAGTTCACTCCAGATTTAGACCATGAAATAGGTGTGTGGGCATCAGGCACTTACAGTATTTATCATGTTGTAGATAGTACTTTGATTATGCAGACAGGATTACATCTGGTACAGTTCTGGCAAAAAGTTGTCAGAAATATATTTGGCATAGGAGACGCAGCAATTTCAAGCTAATTATATTTGTGTAATTGCATTAATATGGAGGAAAGAAACATTCACATTTAAATATTTTGTAAATTCATTGTAAATGCATTGTGTTTTCTCCAGAGACAGTATCTCTTAGCATAAAATCTTGTTAAATACATATAGACATGTATACACAAATGTATACACATACTATGCTTCTTATAGCTAATGATCAATCCGTGGAAATGAGATGAGGGGATCATCGAAGTTCTCAATTAAAGTTTGTAGTATTTTAGGTTTGCTTCCTTTTGAATAACGCCTGTAGATAACGCCTAAGGACAATAAAACCCTGGTTGTGTTTCAAAGTCTAAAACAACATGTGTTTTATAGTTGAAAGCCAGTGTAGCGTAACAGAGGGTGATGGACTTAAGAGGCCTGGGTTCAAATTCCTACTCAGCCATGGAAAGTCATTGGCAAGGGTAAAATTAATCCTTAAGTACTGTATCTCATATACCTTGAAAATCCCCCACTGGGGTTTCCATACATCAAATGTGAACACCGTACACAGAAGTTGAAAAGCCAACTTCCAAATGTGTTTGATCTGACAGTATTTGTACTAGGTCAACACAGGTTTTTCTTTGGCTGGCATAATGTAAACAGAAAGAAATAGTTGCCTCTTAGATATACATGAGGTAGCACTACAGACCCACACTGTGTACTGTGATTGGCTGGTGGCAAAGGCAGCCTGGGGCCGTCATGTCTCTTATACTATTGAAGTTCCATAGCATTCATTATTCTGTGTCAAGCCAAAATTACCTTGTAGGAGCATTGCATAATGTCTGGTATATTAATCATTAGAGATATTTTTGAAGCACTCAATTACATTATGAAGGCTGGGTTATGTTCTTATCTTTCTAATGGTCACATGTAAAGCACCGAGGCCCCTATTACTTTGTAATAAGAAATGCATACCCAGCAGAATAATGCATTATGCACATCTCCATCTATAGGACGGAAAAGGTCAGCCAGCAACTTGAATATTTTTGTCCTCTAGATCAATTTCACTTAAAAGAGTTCATTAGAAAGAATGGCTTTATCTTTTCAATATGTCCTAACAGCATGCTACCACTTTACAGAAACAGATTTCGACTATTTTATTCCATTCAAAGTGGAATGAATTACATCAATCTGGCGGATGTCCATTCATTTTGAGCTTATCAATTTAAAAGTGTCTCAGGATATATTTAAGCAGCCCTTTGTTGCCAAAAAAGAGGAAGGAAAAAAAATTAAAGGAAAGCTGAAAATGTACAACCCACTTACCTTAAAGTAGTGCCATGGGCTGTCATGGAACAACTCCAGAATAGGTGGGCTATGCATGACATCCCAAACCATTTCAAATCCTAATCCAATAATGAAAAGCATTTGCAGATTCTGGCATTTTAGCAGGTGTTCAGTTCATACACATTCACATTTAGGTCTTTACCTCCATAAAGCAGGAACCCTGCTGGAAATGTTCATGATTAACAAATGCTATCCCATTTCAAAAACATCAGACTCTAACATTGGTTATATTTTAAAAAGATCAATTGAAAATGTATTTATTCAGAGTTTTCATGTCTCAAACCAGCCATTTCCTCTGCATTTTTACAAGTTCAAACTTGCACTACATGTACTTTTTCAAGATGCTTGTTATAACTTCCTTTATTTTGAATGGAACAATCGCTAAAATAAGAAAAGAAGGATGAAGGAAACAAACAGCCTATAGAGCACATAATGAGAAATATTCCTTCATTTCCATCATTAGAATTTACATATATATAGTAATAAAACGCTACAGTTCAAATATCATACAAAAACATGAAAGCAGCAACAAAAGGAAATGCAGCAAAACCTGTGGTTCAGAGCAAGGATTTTTCTGCCATCCTCAACATCTTTTGAAAAAAGCCTTCATTACTTATCACATGAGTCCCCAGCATGATGGAGTCTAATAGGCCAACACTGAAAGAAAGTTCGTCAAACTAGGGACCAACACTGAAAAAGCTCTGTCTTGTGTACAATTGTGACAATACTGTTTCTAAGTCAAAGGAAGCAATTGGAGTAATGAGGTCACACCACTAAGAAATACATGTGATGGAGGGACGGGAACCTCTCTGGGATTTAGTGGCGCCTTTGCTTTGCTTCTCTGGAGATGTTTTCCTGATTCTATCCTTGTTTTATTTTTAGTGTCAAATGAATTTATCATGATTTTAATTGTAATTTTATTTTGATCTGCTCTGATACTTATTATGGTGCATTATTTCTCCATTTGGTTTTGGTGGAGTGCCATAAAAAGATTTGGCAAAAAGAATGGGAAGAAAAAGAGTAAATGTTTAATAGGATGGAAGACCCTCTGAGACTTGTCCTACCAAATCCTAGGGTGGCCACAGATGCCTCACCAAAAGAGGTGGGGATGCATCATCCAAGAAAAATGAAACGAAACAACAAAAAAATTGCATAAAAATTGCATTGGCTAATTTAGATGTATCAGTACAAAATGAGAAGTAATGACTACTGTAAATGAAATAGGAGTACGATACATCTCACAGATATCGGGAATTCTGTGAGCACATATATATGTGATTACCTGTGTACCTGCTTACTCTGCTGTTCAAAACGTAATTGTTTATCAGGCAAATTCCAAAGAAACAAAACAAAACCTCTTCTAAAACTAATTTTTTTGTGGACAACTTCAATTCCCTTGCTCTCCTTTCTTAGTCCCCCCTCCATCTCTTTAAATTGGATTTGGGCGTGTCAGGTATTTAAAAAGAGGATACCTTTTAAAATAGAGGCCAGCTCCTCTGATACCTCTTCAGACGGAGGACTCCCCGATGTAAAGGAAGACACACGGCCACCCAATTAGCCACAACAAACAGCAGTGCTGTCATAACTACTGAGCATGGATTGATGGAGCTCCAAGCTCTATCAAATTTCTCTAAGTTCATCAGCAGGTTGCTGAGAGCAGAGAGGATGTTTCCAGCTTTGGTCCAGGCAGGCCTCATATATCCTATCACAGCTTCTGTTAGAACTCTAAATGGGAGCAGATGCTCTGGACTGAGGGAAAAAATTGCTGTTTTTCTTGCTCATACCATCAGAGGCTTTTCCAGACTCTAACAAATTTAGATGGAGCAGGCAAAGGATTGCGCTTTGGGGTAATGGATATGAATTTTAAGAAGAATTTTAATAAATACTTCACCTACTTTGCATTTTATATTATGCTTTTGATTATTTAATACAAAATGTACAGTATTCTCTTGGAAACACGTAGTTGCAGAAACAGACAATCATTATTCTTGTAAGAAAAGTTGATGCTAATATTAATAAGGAAAGTCTGGCAGACATATTTTATTCTTTTGTGGAGGGAACCCTGTGCTTTGGCTTCCATACCTCTGAGCTCGGTAATGTGTCTCATTTGCCATTTTGTTGCTCAGCACACTGCCTTGGAGCTAATACTGGCAGTGGTGCTCACTAATCTCTCTTTTCCATTTATTCACATTCAGACTCCAAATGTATAAAAACAGGGGTTTCACAAGGATATGCTCAGGGTCAGTGCTTTGCTGCCAAAAAAACATCCTGGTATTTGCACACCATGGGAACCTGTGAGGAAAGCTGTGGAGGTTTTTTTTAGGCATCGAGAGCAGGCCTTAACATTCATGGAAATCTCCGGGAGATCTTGGTGTTTTGGTTTTGTATGCCTTTGAAGCAGAGAACCCAAACTGGCATCTGTACCGATGAGCTGGTGTATATAGGGGTATGTGTGGTGTGGGGGAAAGGCAAATATTATCTGGGAAGGGCTTTGCGAAATATGACATGTAAAGGGGGTAAAGGAAGAGAAATAAAAAAGCAAATATAACAATCGCAGTTTAAAGATTTATAGATGCATTTCAGTGTGAGCTTTCAAGGCTCAAAATCCATATCTTCAGATTACACCTCCCAACAGCCACTTTTGATTCACAAAAATCTCACCCTAAAATATATCTTGTTGTCTTTAAAGTGCCACAATATTTTGTCTTCCTTCCTTCCTTTAATTTTGCCAACAGGCTAAGACAGATGGACACACCTATTTCCATTTCTTTGGAAATTGCTTCAGATGGTGGCAGTTTCCTATGAAGAACAAAAGAGAGAAATCAGAAGGAGGGAAAGAATGGGGACACAAGGTTTTCATCGGAAGCTTGGGAATCTCACTGGCACAAGAGGAAGCCTCAGTGGGGACAGTTGGCATGGTGAGACAAGGACAATTGCTATGCATAAGGAATTTTTCCAGTCCTCGCCACATCCCTGTTTGGATGCTTAAATTGGCATGGTGAGACAAGGAAAATTGCTATGCATAAGGAGTTTTTCCTCGCCACATCCCTGTTTGGATGCTTAATGGCTGAAATCCTGTTGCCAAACGTTATGTTGCATAAGGCTCATGATGTCATCAGCATTGCTCTGTGCAAGGCTGATTATGTCGTCACCTACAGCACTTTTGGGGAAATTTAGATATTTCTAATTCTCCCACCAAGGTCTTGAAGTTCCTGTGGGATTTCTCAAATTCAGGTGACAGGTTTGATAGTGGACATCTTCTTTGCAGAGCTGGTCAGAATCGAAATCCCTGTGTGGGCATGGAAAAGGCGGTTCAATCCTGCCTGCTCTGCTGGGGCTATAATGGAAAGGGCACCTGCTCATGCAAAGCATGCCGGTTTAGACACGAGTGCTCAGTGTGTGACGGTTAGCACCCTAGCTCACCATGTTTTAGAGTCAGGGCACAGAGAAGCAACAGCAAAGACTCTGGAGATAATTTTAAAAAAGGCAAATAGTGGAAGGAGGTCACCTTAATAAAGGGGCCCAACCAAATTAAGATTACGGCATTAGAGGCATGGTTACAGGACTATCCTAGGCGGGCAGACGTGGTTTTAAGAATGGTTTCAAGATACCAACTGTAAGGGAACGCAAGACATTCATTGCCCAAAATCTGAAATCTGTACAAAGGGATGGAAGGCATGGTCAAGGACAAAACTGAAAAGGAAATAAAGGATTGTAGAATGTTGTGACCTTTTCCATACACTCCGTTGGAGAACCTGCAGGTCTTACCACTGTGCGTTGTTCCCAAAAGAGCTAAGGAGAGTTAAGTTCATAAATCACTTGTCATACCCGGAGGGAAAGTCAGTGAATGACGTCATTTATTTAGAATTATGCATGGTGTGGGATACCTCATTTTATAAGGCGGTGCGTATGGTTCGTAGGTCTGCAGTAGGGGGGAGCTTGCGAAATGCGACATTAGCAACAACAGGAGATGCAAATTCATTCTAGAAGCATTTCAAGCAATGGCATACAAGCTGGGTTACCTTTAGTTGAAGGAAACACTGAGGGACCAGCCGCTTCCCTCACATTTCTGGGAACAGAATTGGACACAAAGATGAAGCCTTCCAGATTTCCAGACAGTAAATTGAACGAATTTGATATTATGGAAAAGAAACTGTCACCAAGAGAGCTGCAGGAAGTTGTAGGCCAACAAAATTTTGCATGCAGGGTAGGGGCACCAGGCTGTGCATTCCTGCAAAGATTATATGATGCTGTGAAGGGTCTCTGCCGCCCTTTCCACAGGCCGAGAGTAGAGCAGGTGTGGAACAGGATTTACATATTTGGAGCCAGTTTTTAACACGAGTCTAATGGAGCCTCTTTTGGAGATCTGAGACAAACCTCAGGGCCAATTTCCAGGTTCAGACAGACATGGCATGCTCTCTAGGCTTTGGGGATATAATTTAAAGGCAGATGGTGAGCAGAAAGGCAGCCCGAAGAATAGCACTCGTAAGGTATCACCAGATGCCTTACCTTTCTGAGAATTTTTATGATAATGGGTGCCCTGTGATTGTAGACGTGCATTTGGGCCAACTCTGTAGCATGTTTCTGGTATGATAACAGGACGGTGGCTTACATTAAGCAACTCACTTCGCACTTTGAATGTGTCATGGCATTTACTCTGTGTGTGTTATGACATCTTAGTTCATGCAAAGCACATTCCTGGCCTTGGTATCAGCTTAGCTGATGCACTATCACACCAACAGATCAATCAGGTCAAGGGGTTAGATACTGGAGCCAACAAATTCCCAGAGACTCTTTCCCCAGAGGTTTGGCAATTTGGCGTGATGATGCAGAAAGAGCGATAGGTTTGTGCCCTGGATCTGAGGATGCAAAAAGGGTGCTCGGCAGTTGGTACAGAATTTTAGGAGTTAAAACCTAGTGGGTTTGGAGCTGATTTGGCCTGCTCTGGTGGAGCACCCGCAACAGTTTATAGTTTATTCGCATAGGAAAGGACTTTTGCCAGGATCCATAAAGGGCAGGATGTCAGGACTGGCTTTTCATGCCAGGATTCGGGGGTATCTGGATCATACTTCTGACTTCTGCATTAGGAAGATGATGGCAGGCTAGAGGAAAAGAAAGGGGTCAGGTCAAGGATACAAAGGAACTCATATCCCCAGCATTGTGAAAAAAATTGCCATTGATGGCTTGCCATTTGTCGGGTAAGTATGAGGCAGCGTTA